AAAAAAATAGTAGTAACATTATCACATATGTAGACACTTTTCCAAAACTATGATGTTTTAAATATTATATTTGGAAAATGTTGTATATGGAAACTTTTTCAATGTTAACTGTACCTCTAAGAAGTGGTTTATAATATTAAGATTAAAATTGTTATTTTTCTGTTTTGTATATTTGTTGTTCATTCAAATATTTCTCATGTCCATGATTAGTTTTAGTAAGTCAATGAGTTTGCCCCTGATTAAATGTTATTTCTGATTTTATAGAAATTAATCTTATAAATTACTGCCTAATTTGTCTCAGACTCCTCATGTGAAATGAGTTTAATGATATTTGTGAGGTTTCTTTTAAGAAATTTGTGTGAGGATGCAGTACTTATCAATCATTTGATAAATGTGAAGATTGATCTATTTGAAAAAGAACAATGTGAAATAAGTAATAGCAAAGTTTAAAATTTACCTTCATACTCTTCGATGGTTTCAATAATGCTTGGGTAATTGTAGATACATTTCCATCTTCAACTGGTCTTTTGACATACAAAATTTCCAGTAAGAAAGAATTCATGTGCTTGCAAACAAATTGTTAGACAGGAAGTCTTATTTTAAATCCTTAAATTTATTTAAAGCCTAAGAAAGTTTTCACAGAAAATCAAGTCTTCAAATTTATAATGGGTTCTTCTGTCATACTTTAGAAAACTTATAATTATGCTGATATTCATGCCTTGCAGTGAAGAAGACAGAACTTTTGAATGAAATATTTTGATATGGTTAACTACTCAGCAAAGATCATTGCTCAGGAGGTATTAACTTCCACAAAATTATTGTCACTCTGCAGATTAAGAATATTTAAAGTGGTTTAAATAGAGATTGAGAAATTTTGACTTGTACCTGTGTTTTCTCTCTCAGGAATTAATTATCTCCTCTGATGAAAGGACTTTGCCTGGAAACTTGCTAGAGAATCACATACTATCAAATGGGAATTCCATTCCCGTAACTTGAAACACACATATGTGAGAGACCCCTTCCTATAGACAAATTTGTGTTGTTAAAGAAGTTAATGCTATGTGAATAATGGTGGTGTCACTCCCACTTTTGGATTAGCTCCCCTAGCCACACTTGTCACAGGAGTAACTTCTTTCCACATTTTAACAATAATGCACTTCTGAAAATGTGCAATTGGTTGCTTGTGGAACCAAATCTGTGAGAGGTTCAAATTAATGACAACGATTTAAAATTCCTTGACTTTTAAAGCTGTTTTCCCTATTCCCCGCAGTATGTTGGAAATATGAAGAAATCTTAGGAAGCTCCATGTTAGTCACTTCTGTAGTCCCATGGTCTGGTCAGGGTAGAACACTGTTGAAGAATTACATATAAGCCTTTAATATATCATCTTTTTTGAGGTCTCTCTACATGCCACTGATTAACTTAAAAATAGTGAGACTCATCTCCCTGTGTGTATTTAGGTATCAGCATACTTCAGCTACATGTCTTCTGCTGTGTTATATTTACTCAAAACAGGTGTATTGCAATTTCATATTTAAACCCACTTCTTAGAGGTTTAGTTAATTGTCAAAAAGTTTTCATATATAATATCTAACATTTCATTATTTGAACATATACATACATGATATTGTTAGCACTATATGTGCCATAAATCCTTCTAGTTAACTATCCAATTGCTTAACATATTAGCTCATACTTTCATTATTATCACTATTATTGCTGTTGTTATGCTAAGAGTATCTAACACAAGATTTATCATCTCAACAAAATTTTATGTGTCAGTTACAACATTATTACAGGCTCCATGCAATGATATGTGGATCTCTACAGATTACTTGTCATGTCGAGCCAAAATTTTCCACTCTGATTCACATCTCACTGACCCCTTTGCCCAGGTCAAAAGCATCATCATCCCATCTTGTGAGTCTGTGCATTTGTCTAGTTTAAATCTATGTAATAAGGGCTACTATGCCCAATATTTCATTCTGTATCTGATCCATTTTTCTTAGCATAATGTTCTCTGAGGGCATTCCATGTCACTCATGCATGGATTTTCTTCAGTTTTATGATTTTCAGTGTTCTATTTATATGTTTATATAACTTATTTTTATCCATCAGTGGTTAACTTTTCACATCTTGGATACTATTAAAAATATGTAAAAGTTTAAAAATCTTTATTTCCTTGCTAAAGGACACAAAAAATTTAACAAGAAAGGAAAAAGTAATCCTCTCAGTAAGTTGGCAAGAGATACAGAAAGACCCTTCTTAAGATACTTTCAGATGCCAATGTGTGTACTTAACCTTTGGGGAAATGCAAATCAAAACTATTTTGAGATTCTTCTCACTCCATTCAAATGGCTGTCATCAGG